ATTTATATATGTCCACACATATATGTACAAGACCTACATATAAATGAAATGGCGGCCTCGACATATACCACAGTCTGCCATCCCCATGCACCATTGACGTATGCATATACATATATATAGATATATAGGCATATACATATATACTCGACGTATATATGTAGCTACATTGCTAGGGGTATCTGTGGGTGTGTTGTCTGTCTGCACATACATACATTCACTTACCTGACGCATTTTTCCGAGTGTCGCAAACGATTTGCTCGTTTCGCTTGTTTCGCACATTTCTCATCTTTGGCCTTTGCTGTGCACTTGCTAGCTTTTTTGTTTGCTTTTGTATACCCTGTATTTGTGGGTCGTGTAGAGTGCAGAGAGCAATCAAACGTTGCTTCCAGAGTAGATCAAATTCGGATGAGAATTTGTGGACTGTTGGGTATTAATCGCATTCCATTTGAAAATAATACTCTCAGTTCTTGTTCCACTGACATTACAGGGTATTTAACAGTCATGTGTGTGCAGCATCTTTGCGGCTGTCTATTGCCAACAGTTTTATTTATTTACTTTGCCATTTGTATACATCAATTGGAAAAACGACTTTGCTATGAATTATATCGAATATATATATTACTGTTCAGCAAGAATCCATCAATTAAGTAAACAAGTTATAGATATTCTAGCCTTAGTATATATGCAAATAATCACTAATTATCGACTAGCATATCGAGCTAGCGTATTGCACATTGCAATCGCTAATGCTAGTTATCGATTATTAGCGATCAGCTAACGATTATCGATTGGCAATTGTGGATAAAGCAGATGTGCCAGTTTATTGCCAGCTAACCGATAGAAATCGATGATCGTTTATCGATCTAGTATGCACATATTACACTCGATTACATTGCTTATTACATCGATAGTGTACTATCAGTTATCGATTATTAGTGACTTTATTGACTATGTATTCTCGTTTGTCGCTCATCAACTATCGATTATCGATAGATTCATCCCTTCTCTGGGAGGATAAATTTTAACTGAGACAATTCGATTTGAACTCTCCTAAACGCTGCAACGCCAACCCACTGAATTTTATTTTTGTACCTTGTATTTACACAAAATAAATGGCGAAGAGCACAAAAACATATTGAAAGCCATTTATAAAAGAAACAAGAAATAGCTCATTTCCAGCTAAACGAAACTCGCAGTCGCACGAAATGAAAAATAAAAATGCAAATGGAAAGGAAAAACACAAATACACATACACATGATGTGAAACACAAGGAAATGCCAAAAATTCCTAACACGAACGTCATAAAATGTCAGAATTTCGCAAACTGAAATTGCAACGAGCTGCGAATGAGCTTCACTCACCCAATGAGATTGGGGGTGGGAGTGGTACACGCTCATGGCTAATCATATGCTCAAGTCTATAATAAAGAATGGAATAAGTCGGGTCAGCTTGCTTGATTGATGGGTCAATGGCGTGTGGCAAATTATTTGTTCTCTGTTAGCGAATAATAGACTCGAGCATAGACTCGACTTAAGCTGATCTCTTGCCAATATTGGCTCATTCTCGTTGATAGAGTAGCTACTCGTTGAGAGAGTAGCTACTCGTGGATAGAGTTCCTACTCGTTGATAGAGTAGCTACTCGTTGATAGAGTAGCTACTCGTTGATGGAGTAGCTACTCGTTGATGGAGTAGCTACTCGTTGATGGAGTAACTACTTGTTGATAGCGTAGCTACTCGTTGATGGAGTAGCTACTCGTTGATAGCTACTCATTGATGGAGTAGCTACTCGTTGATAGAGTAGCTATTCGTTGATTACTTCTTTGTCGCTTCTCATCACAATCTATTTAGTACTTCATATAAAAAACGAGTCCTCATATTCTCCGTTTGTTGAGCTCTCTAAAGAGCCCGCACAGCTATCGAGCTACAACTACATTATAATCAACTTCATTATCACCGAAGGCAGTTGAGATTGTGCTGCTAAGGCGCTCAAGTGTGAAATGCTCATCATCGGAATGATGATGATCATCAGCAGCGCACAAGATTAGCTAATTAACGAGTACAACAGCGACACCCAAAGCAATTGCTCAAATGTAGAGCATGAATAATTACGAGCAGAGGCAACCGACAATTGCAGAGAAACATAAAACCGAAATGCTGACAATTAAATGATTGGCATTGATCGTGAAATTTGATAGCAACTGTGCCAAGTAGACAATTTACATCTCTCTCTCTCTCTCTCTCTCTCTCTCTCACTCACTCTCTGTGCTTTCCTCACTCACTGTATCTATCTCAAAGGCAGACAAACTGTCTGACAAACTGCGCATCAATGTGCGAGTGGAGAAAGAGTCTGGGCAAATTGCCAATTGCAATTTGAGACATAAATTTGCATGCCCTGGGCACTGCTTTGATAAAGGGTATATTGATGCTAAGAGCAACTCTTCACAGTAGAATCTGCATTACATGTGTTGTAGTTACATGCTCCCTCCATAACATCTATTGTCATATTTGCTTTGAGGGGTATCTCAAGTCGAGCATATTGAACTGTCTCTGGTCGCGCTGGCTTTCATTTATGCTCTGATTAGTAATCCGTAATTCTATATTACTATGGAGCATTGCCTTTATCAACTCATGATTACTTTTCTTTTGTATGTTTTACAGGGTATTCCCAGCCTAACAACTGTTGTCATATCATTTCAATTCAGCTTTGTCTTGACTACAATCTGAAATATCTTTCAATTGAAGACTCAACTTCAATTTCTGCGAAAATATGATGCAATCTCTTGATGTCTCTTGTTTCATTCTCAATTGGTCAATTAGAGTTCTGGTCTGTTTCACTTCCTGCTGTTCCTTTGCAGTAGGTATTTTCTGTGAAATCTCATGTGCAATCAGTTTAAAGGGAATTTACTAGTTTAGCATTCATTTTCGTTTGCACTTCAACGAATTCCTACATCCTCTTTGCTGTTTCACTTCCAATTGTTTCTTTATTCGATTTAGATTAAACAATTATTTCACACTTACAGCGAGCTAAGATGATTTTTTTTATCAGATGGTAACTCTTAGTCACAGTTATTTCCCTGTTTCATTTCCCAGTTGTTCCTTCATGTTCCATTCCTGCTATTCCATTAGCCATGCTCATCACACTGCACTTACAGTCACATTTCATGGATTCAGCCAGACTGTGTGAGAGAGCGGGAGACAGAATCGCTGACTGTTTCATTGCCACTCGTTCTCACTTGGCTGGTTTCACTTCTCAATCTCAACTGCCATCTTAATTGCATCCCATTTGCATGGCATGGTGCGTTGGGGCCTGCCTAATGAGGCATTTTATCAGGCGCTTAGCCGAGACAGCAACCAGTGCAAGGCAGCGAGCCACCCATGCTGCACCACCCAACCACCCAACCACCCAGCCAGCCAGCGAAGCAAACTGCTTTGGCCCGCTTAATCGCTGCCAGCTGGTTACTTAGCCCCCCTCGTCTCGCTGAAGCCGTCGCCAAGGCACTTCTCAGTTTATTGTGCCACTTTGTTTTTGCCTCTGCTGCCCTTTTCTTTGTCTTTTGCGGCTGTAAGTGGCAGCACATTGCACCACACGAGTGGTGCCAGTCGTTGCTGCCTTTTGTTGCTCGTGGAGTGGGCGGCATTCACTCATCCGGAATAAATAGCCAACAAAATTCCGCCGGGCGCCGCCACAGAGGCCATTAAAAATGTGCATTTCAATTTATGCAACCACCCAGCGCACACCACCCACCGCCCACCGCCCCATTACCAAAAAAAAAAAAAAAAAAAAAACGTTGACCCAGTGGTGCGAAATGAGAAAAATGTAAAAATAAACGAAAACTAAAGCTAAATCTCAGTGGGGCATTATTTAAGTACTTTTTAAATAGTTTTACAAAATTGCTGAGAGTAATTCCATTTGCATGTGCTACAGATGGAAGATATAGAGTCTAAATATATATATTCGCAGTCAGTGCTGACCGTCTGTCTGTCGCCTATCTCTGTAATCTTTAGAGCATATATAGGATTACTGATTTCATGACCCTCTAATCTGTGTTTCTTTAAATCTTTTTGAGGTTTCCCTTTCTCGATCTCTCCTTTCACTTTTTCTTACTATTCTCTCTCACTTTTTTTCTCATGCTCTCTCTTAACTGCTCATTCTATCTTACAATTGTTCTCTATATCTTTGTTTCTTCCCCTTTCTATCTTACTTTCTATTCCGCTGTCGTCCTTTTTCGTTCCCCTCTTTGCTGCTTATGTGCTTCAGTCTTTCCCTCTCTCTCTCTCTCGGTCTCGCTCTCATTCTGCTCGTTGAACTTATGTGACTATTTGATCTACACTCCTCATTGTTGCCCTCCCTCCCTCTATCTCTTCAACTACCTTTCTTTCTCACTCCTTTTATCTTTTAATCTGTGTATAACTCAGTATAATACTTTCTCTCTAGATCTCTCTCTGTCTCTGTCTTCCTCTGTCTCTTTCTCTCTCTCTCTCTCTCTGTCTTCCTCTCTCTCTCTCTCTGTCTTCCTCTCTCTCTCTCTGTCTTCCTCTCTCTCTCTCTCTCTGTCTTCCTCTCTCTCTCTCTCTGTCTTCCTCTCTCTCTCTCTCTCTCTCTGTCTTCCTCTCTCTCTCTCTCTCTACTTATACACTCTTTGTCTCTACTTCTTCTCACTCTATATTATCATATATTATACATCATGTCTCTTTCTATCTAGGTTTTCCTATATTATTCTTAATATATGTATTTTCCTCTCCCTATCTCTCTATCTTTCTCCCCCTCTCTCGCCCATTCTCCCCATTTATTCAAGTCTCACCCGTTCATCAATTGCCCCAAATTTTGGCTCCTTTCTTTGATTGACTTTCTTCTTCTATATACATATATTCCAATATCTGATCTTTGTTGTTGCTCATCGTCTTCTTATAGAATGTGGTGGACCATAACCGGTAACTTTGGCAATATTCTGCCCATCGACTGGTCCAAGTCGTACACTCGCCAGATGCACATGCCGACCCTGAATCTGGGCCAGAGCCGTACAAAGCAGCAGCAGCAGCAGCGCAATCTGCAACAGCAGCAGCAGCAACATCAGCAACAGAACCAACAGACACCAGTGGATGAGTTCAACGACTTGACCAGCGAGGATGAGGCAGTGGCCAATGATTTGGATATGCACGCATTGATATTGAACGGATTGAACGGAGATGCCGACGATCATCCCATTAAGACCGTGGAGGAGGTGATCAAGGAGATCGACGATATTATGGACGAGGCCGAGAGTCCGTTGGATGAGCCCGAGAACTGCGATTCGGAGGTGATTGAGAAGGCACGCGAGGTGCTCGGTGCTCCGCTCTATGCAGAGAGTAAGTGTTTCGATTCAACTAAATCTATTCTCTGGCTAACGTTTCCCCTTCATCTTTCGCAGAGTTGCAATATTTGAGCAGCACACAGCTCAATGAGCTGTATATGGAAATGGAGATGCTCATCCAGGAACTGAGCGAGACACTGATCAACGAGCTGGCGCTGCGCGACGAGCTCGAGTATGAGAAGGAGCTGAAGAACTCCTTCATATCTCTGCTGCTGGCAGTCCAGAACAAACGTCGGCAATACCATGTCGAGAAGAAGCGCGGCAAATTCCAAGGTATAGTTGAATGAGATAGAGAAAAAGACAGAGAGAGAGAAAATTCTTTACTAATCTTAATTTGTAACTCTCAATGCAGGCCCGGAGCCCAAATACTTGACTACTGTCATACCCTATCATCTGGAGAATGGCACACCTAACAATCAATCGTTGCAAGTGTTGATCAAAAGTAAGTGGAATGAGGAGCAGGCCAAACAATTGGAAACTTACACAATCTGGGCATGATGGATGAGCATAGGCAGTGTCGAACTCTAGTCAAGGAATTTACGAAACATTAGGTTTAACGGAAGAGATTTCGATATAAGAAACCGCTAAATTATATAGCTGAGATTTTATATGTAGAGATCAGGTCTATAGTCTATATAACCTAAGGAATCTTGTGTAACAAAACTTAACTGGTTAGGCAATTATTGGTCTGTAAGCCATAGATGATTAGCTATGAGATTCTAGAGATTAGAAAACATACGGATGGAAACTATGTATCTGTAAATGTGTCTATCTAGTTCGCCCTATTAAAGTCATTGTCTTTGACAGAATTTTCTAAAACATAGCTATTTAAACATCGCTATTTCTCGGAACTCCTAAATATTAGACCAATTTAGAGTGCATAAATAAGGCATAAGATATACTTAGCTTTAGGGTAAAATCTCGGAGGTGTCATATTTTTCTGTTTATCAAGAATTAACTGAGCTGAAAGATAATTTAATTTTTAATGTAACTTTTAATGTCAACATATGTATAATAGCTAATATGAAATGCTGTATATATCGATGTATATGAATTTCAGGCAAGAATGCTAGAATAATGGAGTAGTTATCGATATGCCTATAGATGATATATGTATATAGATTCTTTGGGCATAATTTGCATATCAAGAATATAGCTTAGCATTTGCCATAAAATGTTATTAGAAATGAGCTCTCTAGGGTATGTTACTTATATAGAAATATACTAGATTGTTAGCTAAAAGCAAACTAGATTTTTTGAATAAGTTCTATGTGGTGATAAATGAGATATTTTGTTAATGAAGTTGATGGTGAGAGAGAGAGAGAGAGAGAGGAGGGCAGAGAAAGTAAGTTTAGTATTCTGTTGTAAGACAACCAAATTAAAATTAAAAGACCTCCCACAACTTACTGCCTACACACCTACCTGATCGTATCATATCATATGACAATATATCTGAATATTATAACTAATCTCTTCTCTGTCTCTCTCTTTCGCTTTTGCAGTACTCAAGGCCATCAATGAGGACAGTCCAACAGTGCCGACGCTCTTGACGGATTACATTTTGAAAGTGCTCTGTCCCACATAAATACGCACTGCAGCTACAACAACAGCAAAAGTAACAATAACAGCAGCAACAACAACAAAATAAAAAAAATAAAATATACGCTCTATCTCTCTGTCTGTGTTTATACGAGTATATATTATATT